ATTCCCACCTCCTCTGTTTGATGGAGAAGGACATGTGGCACAAATGAGTTAAAAGACCTGCCCAACAGGCGGAGCTGGGATTCAAACCCAGGAGGAACATGCCACATGCACTGGAGTGGGTAAGCCGGACCTTGATCCTGTCCCAGCTGCATGGGTAGGGGATTTTGAATAATGCAGCCCCTCTTGAGTTCAGTGAGTCTTTGGGGCAGGACCCAGAATTTGGGTCTTTTTTAATGTACCACCTTGAGCTTGTTGATTTTGACTTAGTTGATGGATTTCAATCGTTGGTGGCTGTTATCACCCCCTCCTTCTCCACCAGGGATCTTCTGAATCCTGCAGATTTAACCCTGGGAGCCTTACAGAGTTTGCTTTCTTGAAGGTAATAGACACCCTGATTCAAACTGGAATCATCCATCTCCTGGACTGCACCTGGGCATTGTTACCCAGGTTTTATACTCTAGTTCTTTAACCAACTTTCAGAATATGAGAGAGCCTTTCTCCATGTTCTAGAGAAGAATAAGTGAGCAAACTTATCATTACGCTCATTTTACCTTGAAAGATCCTTTTGAGTTTCAGTTCAGCCTTTGGAAAATGCATAGATGAGTAATTTGCGTTTGCTCATAAGAAAAACATGCCAAAATTATACTTGAAATACATTTGAGTGAAATCTCTAACTATGATAAAATATTCCACTTTGGGGGCCAGTTCCAACATCTAAAAATAGCTTTTGCTCTTGGGAAGTACAAAATGAGAATTAAAATGATAGAGCAGTTTAGGTTGCCAAGAAAATCTGGAAAGTTAAATATGAGGTTTTTTTTTGTGTGTGTGTTTTAAGTCAAGACAAACACTCAAATTTGCCCTACTTATAAAAAAAAATCCAAGCTGGCCTGCTTGAGACAGAAACAAGATAACAAACTCTATTGGGTTTAACTTCACCTGTCGTTTGTCCTTGGCCCTGGGCCCTACTACTGTTCAGAAGGCTGAGGGTGTGGAAATAGAAAGTAAATAATATTCCTTCTTGTAATGTTGTTTTTGCATCACTAGAGCCATTGCAGAAGATTCCCATGAAATTTGAGTAGGTCCCCAAGGCTCCGGGGGGCTCTTGCCCTGGGGTGTGAAATCTGGTTGTGAAGAGAGACCATGCCCTGTGTGACCTCAGGCTGTGGTCCCCTCCCACCATGCTCCACTTCACAGACTGGGGAGAATATAGTGGGGACAGGTAAGCAGTGAGTGTCTGACAGTATCTGGCCAGGTCAGCCTTTTATGGCAGAAGGGAAGGCACCCCTTTGCAGGCAGTGATGGGGTTGGGGCGCCAAGATACCTTGTCCCCTCCCCAGGCCTGGCATGATGAGCTGGCAGTAAGTGGTGGCAAGTATGCAGTGGCAGCTCCTTGGTCTTAGAGAGCCACGGGGAGTTAGAACTGCGCAGACTAAGGAGGCAGTAGGAGTGAATGCATTTTATTGACTGTAAGCTTCTGGTGAAGGTGAGGTGATGGTATGATTATAGTTTTAGTCAAAAGAATGTGCTCTGACCCCCTCTGCACCTACTTTGTTCTAGACCCTTTTCAGGGTACCAGGAATACAGCAATGAATGGCACAGATCATTCTCTGCCCTTAGGAGTCTAATGTGAATCTAAAATTTCACACATTCTGGGGCAGTCACTGAATCCTGAGTGCTGTTCCCACTGATAGCAAGCATTGTTTGGGTGTTGACAATGTGCCACCATTTTTATGCATTTCTATGGCTTGGCAGGAAGGACGCTTGGCATGTCCCCTAATGCTGAGCCCTGCACCTCTCTGTGGCAACAACAGCTCCTGTCACGAGGAATGACACGCAAGAACCCAACTCAGGGGGCCTCCCCTGGTGGCGCACCGGTTGAGCGCTGGGTTGCGAAGCTGCCCGCAGCCTCTGCAGCGCCAGTTCGATCCCTGGCCATGGCGAGGGTCCTGCATGTTGCCCAGACCTCTCTTGCCATCCCCTGTTCCCCATCAGGCAGTGTACTTCGTCCATCTGCCTGTTGTGCTCCCTGCTCTGGTTCTGGTGAATTCTCTCACCCTCCCACGCTTCTGACTGTACCCAGTGATTATATAAATAAATAAATCTTAAAAAAAAAAAAAAAAACCTAACTCAGGGTGGGTAGAGCACATGAACCCTGATTCCCTCAAACCCCATTTTCAGGACAGGCAGTCCCAGGCCCAGCCTAGGACTTCCAACATTCACTTGGATTTTGATTGTTAAGGTCTGGGGAATGTGCTCCTGAGCTGGTGCCTTGAGAAGGCTGAGTTTCTGGGGGCTGGGTTTCTGGAGGCATTGCCCAGCCTCTAAGAATTGCCTCATGAGCAACTTCCTAGTCTATCCTGCGTTCTCACCTCCTGTTCCACATCTCTCATTAAGAGCCCATGAAGTCTTCATAAATTCAATAGTGCCTTTCCTCTCCAGGACCACAACAGTGGAAGCCTCATAAGGGGTGGGTGGTACATCTCTGCGTATGCATTGTTTATTTCTAAGATGGGTACTACTAGTCCCAGAAAGCCAGGAATATGTTTTGAAAAGCCAAAGTTGGAAATTTCCTATCCTTCAACTAAACTAGACAGAAGTAAGAGGAGTTATTTAGTCCAGAAGGTCTTTATTAGCATCATTCAGAACTGAGCTACCCCACAGTCATGCTATCACAGTCAAAACTCACTAACTATAGGAGAAAAAAGTGAACAGGACTGAATATGAACAGAAACCACAAACTACAGAAGCAGGCTATCAAGACTGGAGTAATGGAATTATCTCATATTGAATATAAAGTGAATACTAAGCAAAATTAGTAAAAAAAATAAAAAAATAAAAAAGATACCATGTCTCTATACACTGTATTACTATCACACAAATTGCAGAACACCAAAGACAGAAGATGCTCAAAGTAGGCAGATACCCAAAAGAGATTCCTACAGGAGAAGAATAGTTCAACTCACAGCTGGCCCCTCAGCAGCAACAGAAGTCAGACTACATAGAATAACATAGGATAATGCAGGAAACAATGTGAAGATACCTTAGGAATTTTGAGAGAAAATAATTGTCAGAACAAAAGTAAGGACATTTTCTGACAAACCAAATCAACTTCCCTTACCTAAAGTAACTAATAAGTTATATTTTAAGAAGAGAGAAAATAATCCTAGAAAGACTATCTGAGCTGCGAGAATATCTTCATGAATCAAGGTAAGGAAGGATTTCTTAGCTTGATAAGCAAACCACAGTCCGTAAAGGAAAAGGTAGTATGTTTTCTAAAAACCACGCCCAGGCACAACCCTTGGGTTCCTCTCCTCTATCACACCAAATATCTAGTGGTCTTATCATCCAACAAATTATTCTTTTTCAAAATTATTTTACTGCTTTATATAAACTCCCATGTGCCCACTAGCAATGTAAGAAATAGAACATCATTATTTTTGGAAGCTTCATACACCCATTCTCAATCCCATAACTCTCTCTCCCTCAGAAGGCTCATTCTCAGCTGGTGCTAGGGTTGGGGGAAGGGTGTTCTGAGGAAATTTGGGAGTAACTGAGTTCAGGTTTTGTACCGTTGGATTTGAGATGCTCAAAGGGCAGGCCCAGGACTGGAGTGGGGTACATTAGGTGTCTAGGATGTAAACTTTAATGAAGCACTTGCTCTTGAGGTCCTGAAAGTGTGGGGATGCCCCCAGAGGGATGTTCAGTAAGGACATCCAGAGGACAAGTGGACATGCGAGGCTGCGGTGGGTGCCTGGGGTAGCCAGCCTAAGTGGTGTACAGCAGCAGCAAGATTTTTTTTTAAAGATTTATTTTTTTATGCATACAAGAGATGTGGGGGGTGAGAGGATCCACCAGAGACAGAGTGGGGAACAGAACAGGCAGATTGACCAAAGTACACAGCTGAGGGGAGCAGCGGGTGAGCCAGGAGAGGTCTGCGCGCCATGTGGGTTGCTCCCTGGCTGGCCAGGGATCGAACTCGTGCTGCTGTGGCTGCGGATTGCTTCATAGTGCGGGGCTTAACCCCTTGCGCCACCAGGGAGGCCCAGCAGCAGCAGGATTTAACAGAGGTGAAGAGGGGAAGAACTGAGGAGCCACAGGAAAGGAAAGGAGCTCAGGAAGTTGACACAAACCAATCACAAAACCACTTGGGCGAGGGGCCCTCTCCCTCCAGCCTCTGCCTGGACACATTGTATGGTGGATGTTTTGTTCCACCCTAAACTCATCAACCCCAAATCAAATAAGGGCAGAACCCAAACAGGACAGGGGAAAGATTCGGTTTCTCCATCATGGGCATAATAAATGACTGAACAGAGTTGAAGGGTGATTAAATTGAAACTATGTTGTCCAGCTGGTAATTGGCCTCATGGCATCAGAAACTATAACCTGAGGGCTACAGACCACACACCCAGAGGCCCAGGCAGGCTCTGCTAGTGGGTGAGGTGGAGCAAGGAGGAGAATTCTATTCTGCAGTGGAAGTGAGCAACAGAGAAATGTGCCACACAATGGTGTCGGGTTGAGGGGAAAGTGGTGTGGTCCGCTGAGGACCCCAGGTCCTTTCTAATACGGTCACAACTCATTTCGGCCTGCTATGGCCTGGGGAATGGGTTCATTATGCCCAGAAGCATGGACTTGATAAGAAATACCTGACATCTGTATTCTTCATGTGAAATAATCTGTTTTAAATGTCGGCGATTTATTTATAAATGTTTTATAAAATTGTATATGCCAACAGTTTGGGCCAAGAAGACACATTGACAGGTCACCTCTGGGCAAGTCCCTCCACGGGCAGCCTCTGAGTTAATCCCTGGAATTTTCTAACAGTGGGACCTAAGTTACTACAACAGGGTCAGCCTCCTCTTGATTTCCCTCTTGATTCCACTTAATTTGACCTGAAAAGCTGTTCACCAGAGACAGCAGAGACAGAGACATTAACCTTCCCACACAGGTAAACTGCCCCACACAAGCCAATGAAGCCTCTTCTTCTGGTTTTCTCTTCATAGGTATGTGGGTTCTGGGTCTGGATCCTGGTAGCCTCTACCCAGGTACAATACCCGTTGCTGCAAGGATGGGTGATGTACGTCTCACTCACCTCCTTTCTCATCTCGCTGGTGTTCCTGCTGTCTTACTTGTTGGGATTTTACAAAAGATTTGATTCCTGGACTATCCTGGTAAGAACCAGCAAGCGAGGCCCAAGTCCCTGTTCCTCTGGGGCCAATGTCCCTCCTGGGTGTTGTAAGGACCACGGGCCCTCTGGGCAGGGAGGGTGGACCAGAGACCTGGGACCAGAGACCTTTCCGAGTAGCCAAGACTTTTATTTTAATGTGTGTGTTATTCAACAAAAAAGAAACTATTTCTCGGCCAACGCACCTCTATCACTGCATTTCTCTCATTGCCTTCCACTTATCTAGGCTGTACAGTCCTGTCTTAAGCACATCCTGACACATTCTCCCTAAATTTTATTTATGGTAAATTGGCATAATGTCAACAGAAATACTAGTAAGAAACAAATCACCCCAATCTCAAGATCTTATCACAATCACTGGGTTCCTCCATAGTCTTGCAAATATTATGCAAATGCCCATATTTTAATCACACTGAACCATAATTTTGGATGTAGAATCTTTCATTTTGTATCATTTTTTTCATGTTGTCACATCATCTTAATAACCATCAAAATGTTTTCTCTATTGAATAATTTAAACAGACACAAAAGTAGGAAGGGTTAGATTATGGAACCTCACATAATTATAACCCAGATTCCAACATTATCAAGATTTTACACACTGGCTTCATCAAGCCTTTTTTATTCCTGAAGATTTTTAAAGCAAACCCCAAATAGCACATCATTCTGTTAGGGGGAAAGGGATGTCCCAAAGCTAATTCCATACAGGCTTTGTGGACTCCACCCCCACCCCAGGTCAAAGCCAAAGACACTGGGAACTCCAAATCCCACCACCACCAAAGGGAAGGTGGCTGGGACCTGAGGGTGGGGTTAAGCAGCCAGGTGGATAGAAAAGGCAGACACGTGGGCTTTGGGGATCCCCCATTTTGGCTCTCCGCCAGCTCGCAGCGTCCGGCCAGCTCTGAGAGTGACTTTGGGTTTCCAGGTCGTCGGATCGGGTAGGACGCATTAAAGACTTTATTTCCCTGTTTTCTCCCTGAGTTGTACATTTTCCTTATTTCCTTTCCTCTTGTAAATAAACCTTTTATTAACCTTTTGTGTGTGTCTGTAGTAGAGTATTCATAAGTCCCTTTAAAGCGCGCGGGTGAGGACCCACAGCCAGGAACCCGTTTAATATCGGGGCTGCTCTATAACAATTCCACCCCACACACTTTAGCATGCCTCCAAAAAATATGCACACTTTCTTATATTATCCCATATATACAACGTTGTCATTGAAGACCCTCTTGACTATTAAATTTCCCCGATTTTCTATGATCTATCTTTTTGCAATTGGCAGTATAAGTCAAGATCCTGACAAAGGCCACCAGTTGCTTGGCATGGCTCTCCTGGAAAGTGACTTGTTGAGGGAACTGGGTCAGCCATCCTGTAGAAGGTCCTATGTTTTGAATTCATCAGTTTGTTTTTTCCTGGTGTGATTTTACTCATTCCTCTATTCCTGAAATTTCTGTAAATTGGAATTTCATTCTAAAGGCTCATTGAAGATGAGTTAAACCTTTCTGGCAAGAATGCTCCATAAGTGGCTTCAAGTCACATCACACACAGGAATGTGACAGCCGTACTCCATCAGCTTTTTCTCTTGTTCTATCATCTCCTGATGAATTGTCCTGAATTGAAAATTTCATTTGGGATTTCAAATGCTGATCTGTCTATTATGACATTCCCTCCAACACTGATAACCATTTTAAATGGCTGTCTGACATACTTGTCGAAAAACACTGCTGAGAGTTTAGTGTACAGGTTTAAGCATCAAAATTCAATTAGGCTGACTTAACCAGTTCTACTGCATGACCTTTTTTCCATCTGTAAGTGAGCAGTCAAAATCATAGCAGCCATAGGAAAATGAAACAAGACAACATAAGGATATTGTTAAGATAGTAACCAGCACATAGCAGGTCTTCATAAAGCTGATGTTCTAAAGCATAGGCGTGGAGTTCATGTGGCCCGAGTTCAAATCCTGACTCCGCCACCTGTTCATTGACCTTTATTTTGAGCCTCATTTTCCCAAAATGGTGCTCACATAGCACCTGCCTCACAGTGTCAAAGTTAAATGAGATAAATGAGAACATAGTTTAGCATAGAGTTTGGCACAGGTACACACTCAATAAATGTTGGCCAGTGTTGATATTATTATTTCTATTTATTAATTCATTAGTGTTTAGTACATAGATATGGGAAACACTGCCCCCCCAAAAAAGTGGGAGTTGCAGGAAACAGCTGGTCTCTTCCTACTCTTCCCAGACGTGTAATCAGAAAGGAAAGGGCTCACCTGTTTAAGTGCCCATGTGACAGTGGCCATGGCCTCTGCTCTGCCTTTCCAGGACAGCCTGTACCATGGGACCACCAGCATCCTCTACATGAGCGCATCTGTCTTACAGGCACATGCCACCATCATCTCTGAGACACCGGCAACGGTGGAGAAGTACTACCTAAACACAGCAGCCACGGTGAGTGCTGGTGCTGGGGGCGGGTGTCATGTGAGGCTCAGCTTTGTCCTGGGAGATGGAGGTGAGCCCCAGGCTGAAGGAACCCCCAAGGGATGGAAGGGGTGTGTGTGTGTGTGTGTGTGTGTGTGTGTGTGTGTGTGTGTACATGCCAGAGCTGGAGGTGTAGCAGGCCCTAATTCAGGTCACGTGTCATCTTCTGATTTTCCCAACTCATCTGTGTTTCCTTTTACATCTACTATATGGCCCTCTGAATACTTTTTCCCTAAAATACAAATTAGAACATATCTCACCCTAATTAAAACCCTTGATGGGTCCCATTGCTTGTGGATCCCAAATTCCTTAGGATGGCCCAGCTGTTTCCATGTCCTTTTATTCAATGACAGAGATGCATTGGAGGAACAGTTGGTTGATGGAGCCCAATATAAGGTGGTCCTGCCAAACTGTGGGAAGAGCAGGACCCCCTAGGCTTTAGAGTCACTAGGACTACCCAGACTCAGGGCCCACTCAGTTTCCTCTTCTAGTCTCTGCACAACAGTCTCTTCTCACCCCTTAAGGAATGGCGCCTTCGTGTGGCAGGGAGCCACAGCCTGCAGATTCCGCCTCTGGTGTCTACTGTTAGTCCTACCTTGAACACTTTGAAGGAAGGAGGGCTATAAGGCCTGGGTGGGGTGCGAGCTCCCCTCCCTCTCTGGACCCATCAGTGTAGTCACAGATATGGGGTCCTGTGTCAATCCAGTGGTCCCTGCAGTGCTCAGGTGGCAGGCAGAAGGGGTGTTGCATGGGATGTTGTCCCCAGCATAAGGGTGGGGGGTTGGGCAAGCACTGTGACCCACTGCTATAGCCACTGTCCCTCTTGAAATATAGCAAGTACTTTAAAAGTGTTTGTTGAATGAATGAATGAATACCTGATGAAGTGCTGTGAGTAGACAGTGGGGCAATGGAGGCCAGAGTGGTCAGCCAGGCTTGGAAGGCATGTACCAAGAGCTCGCAGGCTGTCCAACCAGATGGCTTTGGGAATGGCTTTGGGCAAGCAGTGGAGGAAGGGAGGAGTCAGAGGGGTGTGGGGTTTCCTGTATAGCTGGGTGCGATAGGATCCTGGAGCCAACGAGATTCTGAGGTTTGCTCAGTTTGGGCCACTGAGAGTTTGATGGCCCCCCAGGCATTCTCGTGGAGCTGGCAAGCAGGCTCCTGGGCAGAGTTCTGGACCAGTGAGAGTATAGGCAGTGATGAAGGTGGATTGGGAATTGTGCTTAGGCAAGAGGACAGCACAAGAGAGGACCTGGGACAGAGATGGGGACCAACCCCTTGTGGCCGGTGGAGGAAGACATGTCCGTGGATGAGAGAGGAAGTGCACAGTCAGAGCAGGACCCTGGGACCGTGGACACCGGGGACGGAGAACTTCAAGGAGGAGGAGGAGTTGGCCAGTGGCTGCCGCCCGCAGCTGGGCAGGGCGTGGGGCAGAGCAGGGACAAAGCAGGGTCAGGACACTTGGCCCCCTGACTACTGGGCCTGAGGGCCCCCTGGTGGTGGCACAGCAGAGGGTGCTGGCCATCTTTGACAGTCACTCTCTTGTCTTCTTCCAGTTGTTTGCCTTTATCACCACCCTGCTCTACATCCTCCACTCCTTCAGCAACTACTACCACTGAAGAACCAGGGAACTGTGCCCAAAGGAGAAACTCTCTTTTATGACCTGGATTACTGGCCCCCCCAAAGCAGCTTTCAACGTTGGCCATCTGGATGATAAATAGATCAACAAAATCATCCATGGAATAAACCATCTTTTCAGATTGAGGGATGACATCACATTCTGGCACATCTGTTTAGATTTTTCAGATCATTCTAAAGAATATGAAAAATCAGTTGTTTCCTTTTTGCCTGGGAAAGTAACTCTCTCGTGGACCAAGAACCCCGCTCTTCTAGAAAGTAATATTCGAGATCCTCACCATTGAGACTCTCAGATCTAGCACTGTCACACCTGTTTGGGGATTCTGCCTCAGGAATGAGGTTCCCCTTATCAGGTTTATAGGAACATTCAGCCTCCTTATTTTCTTACAACTAAAATGGTGCTGTTAACACATTCTCATCCAAAGATGATGCAGCTCCGCTCCCTGTTCTGTGGCCCTGCCTGTGCTCTGAGCAGTGGTCCCCACCAGCTCCCCACCCCTGGGGGGCAGCCAGGGGCCGGCCACATTGCCCACCCCTCCTTCCATTTCCCCTTCCATTTCCTTCCCAACTTTTGGACACAAGGGAAATTGGCATAAAATCAACGTTGCAGGTGGATTTCTGAGGAAAACAAGTGAATGACTCTACAAAGTTGTTACACAGTACAGTAAGAGCTGGGGGGTGGACAAGAGGGGCAGGGGTTGGGGGTGGTGAGAAGGGTGTAGCCCCTTCTCCATAAGTCAGGACTTTCAAGAAACAGCTGCAGGACATCTGAGTCAGGTCTCCAAGACCCAGCGCTTTGTCCCTCAGAAAAGACCGCCTATGATGGAAGCAAGTCGGCACCTCTGGGCTCCTGTCTCACCCCATGGGACGTCTCAGGAAGTCAAGAGAGGATCCCGGGGATCATGCTTCCGAGTGCACCCATGCCCTTCGTGCTTCCTTGAGTGGAGCAGCTGAGTGGGACCAGCCTCACACAGTGCACTCAAAGAAAGGGCTCAAAGAAAGGGCTGGCGTCGTACACACAGAAACCTACAGTCCAGGTGCTTGATTTCAAAGTAAATGTTTTTCAAAAGAAAGCTGTGCTTTCTGGCATTCTCCACCGTGCAGGGGTTCTAGCCCCTGGTCCTCGCATCTGTGCTGGGTCTCCTACCCCAAGCAAGCGGGGTAAAAGTCTCATCACTGCCTGTGCCTGCTGTTGTTTTGAAATGAAATAAATTATTATGTGACGGGACTTGTTTCAGCTGATTCTAGAGCTTATAGTTTTGCATCACCTTTTTTCTACTCCTGGGGTGCACGGAGTCACGAAAGAGAAAACTCTGGCTTCACTGTTGTTGGCTACTCCCTAATCAGCCCAATATCTTGAAAGGCCACATTTTAACTCTCACTTTATTGCCTGGAGGCTGTCTGGGATGGTCACTCCAACTCACAGGCCAATCCTCCAGTGACAAAGGAGTGTTCCCTGCCACGTAGAGGGTTTCTCTGATAGGAAGGTTATTTCTGGAGATGGCCTTAAATCTGTGTCACCTTCATTCTTCTAGGTAGTTAAAAAACAGCAACAATTTCTCTTGAAACATGCAGAGTCTTGACAGGCCTTAATTCCACAGGCCAAGCTGACCCCTCTTATAAAAAGTCTGTACTGGACATCTTGGAGGACATTTTATGGATATTTTCGGGAGGCCCAAACCATTTAAAAAGCTTCTGCTGGCCTGGAATATGCCCAAGTTTCTAGAGGCTTCCAGTGACTACCCCAGGTTCTTGGTGCCCCTATGCACTAGCCCTACCCATTGCTGAAATTCTGCAGCTGGATTTGAGAAGGGGCCACCCCAACCTGCAATAATACCCACTACCTGGACTGGCTAGCTAGTTTTGCTTTCCAAACCTGGTGCTGGGCCCAGCACACAGTAGAGCTAACAAAGTAGGGCATTGAGTGCCCCCTGGAGCCCTGAGGGCCATGCATCTGGGAGCACTTCTGAGCAGATTGCCCTGAAAGATGTCAGAAGCAACCTCAAGAGGCATGTGGGATTTGGGAGACTGCAGGGGCCACTGTGGCCTTCAGGTGTAACCAAGCAGGGGTTCTGATCACTTTTCACGAAGATTACTGGCAGCTCTTGTTAAGACGCCTCTTCCCTCGCATGCCTGTGTTTCCTTACAGGGAAACCCACTCCCACCTGTAGGAAGAAGGGAATGCAGGGATTCACCCTCTTGGAGTGAACTCCATCAAGCTACCTGTCTTGGGTCCCAAATTGAGGGGTTATAGAGAGCTGGAAGGAGTGCAGAGGAGGCTATTTCTAGTTTTATGAACTCAGGTGAGGGCTGTACTTGCTTCAAGATTCACATTTCTCATCCAAAATTGGGATGCATGGGTTTCTCTGCATAATATCAGGCGCATTTACATCAAGATAGAGATCTACCGAGGTGGGTTATGCCAGAGTGAGGTCATGTCCAAGAACAGTTAGATTAATATGTAATTATGTCAAAATGCATTTATCTCAAGATGCAGCTATACCAGGATTTAGATGTCAAGGGGTTGTTACGGCAATGTGTAGATAGGTTAAGTGTAGTTATCCTAAGATGTAGTCACATTAATGTGCATTTATGTCGTTATCTCAAGGTACAGTTGGGGGACAGTGCAGCTGTGAGGTACATGTAATTGTGATCATAATTGACTTGTATAATCAAATGTGACAAGAACCCACGAGAGCACCACTGAGCTAACAGTCCTTCAGCAACAGTAGGAAACTTTACTGCAGGAGACCTGATTCAGTTCCTTGAACACTCCACTAGGTGGCGCGCAGGCTCCACTTGAATGCCTGGAGTTTTGGGTCTTCAGAGCCCAGCGTGGCTTGGGTATCCTGGCCTCAGTGAGTGACAAAGAGTGATAGCAGTTCTTTCAGCTTTGCACACTGCCTCACACAGGGGAAACTGAAGCCCAGGGACAGACTGTACCTTTGCACAACTTGCATGTTGGGTCGGGGCTGAAGGAAAGGGGGCAGGTAGAGCATGAAGGCCCCTCTGTGTATCATTGGTCCATGTGGTGTGGTGATGGCTGGGCCCAAACCATGAGAAGAGGCCTGCTCTGCTTGAAGCGGGGGAGGAAAGACTTCTGTCTAGTCCCCTCCCTGGCCATTCATCACCACCTGTGCCCCTTTTTGCTCTGTGTTCACTAAGTGCCCATTGCCTCCTGGGCCCCAGATTGAGAAAGCCTGCACTGGCCAGGGTGTCTGGGAGGCCTGAGCTGTGGTGGTGGCTCCCAAGGCAGCTGAGGGAGGGGATGTCTAATCACAGGGGAAGAGCCCAGCTGTCAGCACATTGTTAAAAACAAACAACCAAAAACAAAACAAAACAAAAACAAACAAACAAACCCACACCATTTAATCAGCTTCTGCTGGTCTGGAATATGTTCAAGTTTCTAGAGGCTTCCAGTGACTGCCCCAGGTCCTTGGAGCCCCTGTGCACTAGCCCGACCCGTTGCTGAAATTCTGCAGCTGGATTTGAGAAGAGGCCACCCCAACCTGCAATAATACCCTCTATCTTGGGCACTCCCCTTCTCTCTATGCCTCAGTCTTCTCTATGGATTGAGGGACAGGCAAAGATGCCTTTGAAAGCCATCTGGGGGCCTTCCTGGTGGCACAGCGGGTTGAGCGCTGTGCTGTGATGCTGTCCACAGCCTCTGCAGTGTGGGTTTGATTCCTGGCAGGCCAGGAGATCCCCACATGGCCCAGCAGACCTCTCCTGCCCCGCCTGCTGCTCCCCTCACCAGTGTCTTTGGTCCGTCTGCCTGTTCTGTTCCCCGCTCTGTCTCTGGTGAATCCTCTCACCCTCCCATGCCTCTGACAGTACCCCAGTTCTTCTATAAATAAATAAATATTAAAAAAAAAAATCTGGGCCTCCTCCTAGAGATGGTGTAGGGCAAACGACATGATTGGGTTTTTTTCCACCCTCCTGTTGCTAGCGTGGATGCCGGGGCTGAGGGCAGTGGGTGTGGGGCCCAAGAGCCTATGATTATGGACATCTGGGCCCAGGGAGCATGGGGTGTGCGCATGTGTAAATGTGCACACCTGGGCCTAGAAGGGAGGAGATATAAGGGCAGCATCACCCTGAGACGGGAGAATGCCAAAGAAACGCTGAGAGGGGAGCTGCTCTGTCCTCTGATTTAGCATAAAAAGCCTGTAAAAATCTACTGAATAATTTTGGATCCCCAATATTATCTTTTCATCTGCAAGAACAGACAATGAGCCTACCCAGCCTGGGGTGGTTGCAAACGGGAGGGGAAAAGGGAGGGAAAAAAGGAGGGTGAAGGGGAAAATCTAGAATGACGACTCCAGGCTACTTTGTACAGTGGGAGGGAAGAGCAAGAGGCCAAGTCAAGCCCCAGGCCCCTCAGAGCCAGCACAGAGCCCTGTCAGGGCCCATGCCTTCTGGAAGCAGCTATAATGTCTGCTTTCAGGAAACCTACATTTGGTTCCATTGCATGCGCCTTTGCTGATGTTGGCTGTGCTGGACTCTGCTTGGGGCTCCTGGTCTCAACGACCCAGGAGTGAGTTGTGGTGATGACCAGAGGGTTCATTGTTTCGGAGCAATGGGGCAGTGACAGCAGCCGCACTGGAAGTAGAGGTGGGGAGGATTTACAAAGGGCCTCCTGGAATGTGGGGCCTCCAGAAAGTTGTCAGAATGATCAGTGGTTGACTAGATGCGCTTTCTGGGCTAGAGTCACCCCAGTTGGAGTTTCAAAGGGTGGGATACACGGGTGGAGGGGGGGAACGGCGTTAAATAACAGAAGGCAGAGGGCCTCCCCTGTGGCGCAGCAGGTTGAGCGCAGCTCTGTGAGGCTGTCCGCAGCCTCTGCAGTGTGGGTTTGATTCCTGGCTGGCCAGGGGGAATCCCACATGGCGCAGCAGACCTCTCCTGTCTCTCCCGCTGCTCCCCTCAGCAGTGTACTTCAGTCCTTCTGCCTGTTCTCCCCACTCTGTCTCTGGTGGGTTCTCTCACCCTCCCACATTTCTGGTTTTGTACCCCAGTGTTTGTATAAATAAATCTTCAAAAAAAAAAAAGGCAGAGTCGGGAGCCAACAGTTGTGAGGTTGGCGGTGACTGGCAGCAGGGCCTGGACTGGAATCTGTCAGGCTCACAGATAGCAGCTATTACTGTTTCTCCTGCAGGGGTGAGGCGGAGTTCAGCAGATCCTTGCAGGTCCACTGGCCACCCTGGCCTCCCAAGTGGGACACCTGTGGGGGAGGTGGCCAGAGGTTCTGTGGGGATTTGTATCCGCTCAAGAATTGATGTACTTTGAATTCTTTAAAGACTAAACATTGCTGTTTTAGATTCCACATCATGACAGTCATAAAGAGGATTGCACTTTTCATATTAGTGATAAACTTAATTAGTAATTTATATCAATTGTCAACATCTGAGTCTTGTAGGATCTAAGCCCCCGCCTGATCATTGGGATGGCTGCTCGTGAATGTAGTGAGCACGCATGTGGCTGAAGTCAGCCAGCCTCATAGGCATCGCCTGCTGGTGCTGTTTAAATGAATCATTGTAGGGTAAAGAAAATGTCAGGCTTTTCTGCCCTTCCGCCATCAGGATAGATGATGGATCCTTGTCCTGAATGCATGCCTGATGGCGGGCACCTGGAGTAGGGTGTGGGCATAGGTAGATGGGATTCAGCTGAGCTAAGACTGTGCTTTTAA